ATCTGCATTACTTTTTTTGTTTTGTTTTGTTTTTTTGGAGGAAGATTAGCCCTCAGCTAACTACTGCCAGTCCTCCTCTTTTTGCTGAGGAAGCCTGGCTCTGAGCTAACATCCGTGCCCATCTTCCTCTAGTTTATACGTGGGACGCCTACCACAGCATGGCTGTCAAGCAGTGCCATGTCCGCACCCGGGATCCGAACCAGCGAACCCTGGGCCGCCGAGAAGCGGAACGTGCGAACTTAACCGCTGCGCCACCGGGCCGGCCCCCTGTATCTGCATTAAACTAATTAATACGAGAGTTAGGATAGGTGGTGAAAGGGGATTGTAAAATGGTTGTTGATATAAAAAGGAATTAAAAGGGAACTGACAAGGTTGAAAAATTATTCACCATGTGAAATCTCTTTATTTTAAATTTTATTCTTTTATTCCAGCTCTTGTAAGAAGCAAGTTTTATTATTTCTGCTCTAGGCACTATCCCTTCATGTAGTTTTTGAGATAAGAAACTAGAAACTGCAGTTTGTTTAGCAAATGAAATTAGGCCTTTTTAGAACTGGGTCAATATAATATACAGGAGAAAGTGGGGTTAATAGGTGGCGAAATCACATCAGAGAGGTCTGTATCCTATCTCTAGGTGAAAATAAGGAGAGAGAGTAACAAACCGTCCAGTGTGGGGCAGCAGCTCACTAACCCTGGTGAAGTGTCACTTCGGGGGGTCAGTGGGCAACATGCAGCACAGCTGGGTGGGAACAATGGATGAGGAGGGCTGGGTTCTCCCAAACCGCTCTTCTCAAAATACGTTACCTAAAACAGTAGTCCCGTGAGGTCATCCAAGTTTGGGAAGTGGGGTCGTCTCCCTTGGAGACTCAGAATGCATATGAGAATATTAAAAGCCCTGAGAAGTCCTTCAGGAAGAGCCTGTTTAATCCACCATTTTCTAATCTTTCTGTTGACACGTCCTCTTTTGAGAGACATAATGTCTATTTTGCAGTCACTTTCTGCGTTTTATAGATGCATCTAATGACAAACTGATGCCCTAACGTTGGGTATTTTCCAGGGCTGGAATTATCAGGTAGGAGATACTCATTAACAGCTGTACGATTTCACACTGATTGGAGTGCACCCTGTAACTGAAGGGAGTCCTGGAAGATGACTTCACTTGGAATAACCTTAAAGTAAGAGGACAGTGCATAATGAAACAGGAAAGGTAATTTCTTTTCTTCTCTTTTTTTTTGAGGAAGATTAGCCCTGAGCTAACCGCTGCCAATCCTCCTCTTTTTGCTGAGGAAGATTGGCCTGAGCTAACATCCATGCCCATCTTTCTCTATATATGGGATGCCTACCACAGCATGGCTTTTGCTAAGCGGTGCCATGTCCACACGCAGGATCCGAACCGGTGAACCCCAGGCAGCCGAAGCAGAACAAGCGAACTTAACCGCTGTGCCACCGGGCCGGCCCCAGGAAAGGTAATTTCTAATAGGTGGAAAGCGTCGGTGTCAACGAGGTTGCTGGAACATCAGAGTTGATTGTGGGATTCCTGTGTGCTTTGAATACATCATCATCGACAGAAACCCTTCTCTAGTTGAGGTCGCCTTCCTTCCATGTTGCCAAATCCAGTGATTGATGCTCAGACCTCTCTGGACCTCGTGGCAGCACTGATTACTTCCTCCTTGAGATATCCTTCACATGCCTTCTGGGAGACCACATTCTCTCCTGAACTTCCCTCCCACTTCTCTGGCCTCTTCTCTCATTGGATCTCCTGGATCCTATTTTTTCAAACTCCTAGGTGTTCAGAACCCCAGGCTCAAGCTTCCAATCCTACAGTCACTCCTGGGTGACCTCGTTCAGTCCCATGGCTTTAAACATTATATTACTATATATATAGTACATACTAGATGTACGTGACAACGAAACTTTTATATTTGGGCTTGACTTCTTTTCAGCTCTAGACTTATATCTACCAGCCTTCTTGACATCCAAGATGGTGTCATAAAATGAGCATGTCCAAAACAGAACTCTTGAGTGCCCCCACTGTCTTCCAGTGTTAAATGGCCTCATCATATACCCAATTACTCAAATTAAATGACTTGGGGTCATCAGGGATGCCTGATTCCCATCTTTGTCTCACACCCCACACCCAATCCATCAGCAAATTCTGTCAGTTTCAAAATATAACTTGAATCCAGTCACGCTCACTACCTCCGACGCTAGCAACATTGTCTAAACCACCATCATCTCTTACATAGTTTCTTGCAATTGTACCCTTACTGGTGTGCCCAATTTCATTCTTGCCCCCACAGTCTCTTCTCCGCACAACAACCAGAATATCACTTTTAAACATGGAAATCACATCATGTCCCTCTCCTGCTCAAACTCTCCCGATCTCAACAGAACGCAAAGAAATCCCCCACTCCTACCATGGCTTCTCTGATCCAGCCCCTCACGACCACTGCACCGTTTTCTGCCCTCTCCCCTTTCCGCCCTCACTGAAGCCACGCTGGCCTGCTCGCTATTCCTCAGATACTACGAGCACCTCCGTTCAGGCTAAGGCCCTTGCACGTGCCGTGTCCCGTGCCTGCTACCTCCTTCCCAGGGACTTGGCTTGCTCCTGCATATCGTTTAGGTTTCTGCACAAATGGTGCCTCCCTAGATAGGCCTTCCAGAGCATCCCTTGACATGCTACTCGTATCCCTTGCCTGCTGGATTGTTTTTATGGTACTCAGTCATCCCTCGTCCTGCGGCATGTTCTCTCAGTTTACTATCAGGTCTTCAACTGCACTGGAACCTCTGGGAGGCGCGGACTTCCATCTCATTCTCTGCCGTATCTCTGCACCTAGATCAGTGCCTTGAACAGAGCGGATGCTCAGTAAATCTTTTTTACATGAATAGATGAATTCTCTAGAAGACTTCCATGTCCCCGTGTCTCCCGTTATGGAATCGGGTGTACTGGCGGGTTGATTCCGCGTCTGAGGAGCAGAGGGGAATCTGGGAAGCGGGTGGCTCCACAGCACTCTGAGATGTCAAACTCTTAGGAGACAGGAAAAAAGCCCTACCTACTCTGTAACTGATTGCCAAGGTGGGATAAACACCCATCTGCCTTCCCTTGTTCCGACTGCATGTGAGAGGGAATAGTGGTTCTCAGTCCTGTGCGAGTTTTGTTTCTTCTAAAGTGTCAGCCATGTGAACCTATAGTATGAGAGAGACCTGTCTTCAGTCATTCGTTTCTGAGCTCACATAAAAGGATCAATTGTCCTTCAAAATGCTTAGTAAATTTAAAATATTTTGGGAAAGGTACTCTTAGATTTGTTTCAATCTTGTTTGCTGTATTCACAAATTAATAATGATCACTTTAGATATAGCCATTGATTCTTCTTTCTAAATCTGTATAAAGAGGGTGTTTTCTTGCAAAAACCACAAGAAAAATACAGCTGTTTTCTTTTGCCCAGGTCAGTGACTAGAGTAGATTGCCCGTTTAAGGTTGGCTGCCATGTAATACTTTGACGTATTTACAGACATAGCTGAAACTCTATCTCTAGACCACCAGCTTTCAAAAGAATTTGGATCTGTTTGACTGACAATGAATATGTACCAAACACATGAACAGTTTCTAAGCTGCTTATGAGGAGGTTTTAAAAATAAAAATGTCTAACATTTATTAGGCAATTTCTGTGTCAGGCATATAATAATTGCTTTACACAAATTCACTTTAATTCTTTCAGAACTTCTTTGAGGTAGGGTAAGGCTCTTTTAGAAATGTCACTTTACAGATAAAAAAGCGAGGCTGGAAGAGCCTCAGGGCCACACAGCTGGAAGGTGAGGCCAGTGCTCGAACCAGGTTCGCACTGCTGCTTGCGTTGCTGGCAGCGGGAGCCGGCTTCCGTGCCAGGATAAACCTCCAGTGTCGGGCATGGGAACCACGCCCCTTGGTGGCTGGGTTACTGAGAACTAGGATCCACTTGCTTCTTATGTGCCTTGGCGTGCTATGTCAAGGTACTTCACATGCTAAAAAACCTTGACAGTTTTTTTCTCTAAAGAAGATGTAAAGTTTAAATTAGATATTTCTGAGAAATTCTTAGTGCTGTTTCTACACTTTTTATAAGTTAATATCAGGAAAGAGAAATAGAACATCCATCCATTCTTCCAGGCAACTTATGGACCGATTATCATTGATTATTAGCAGTGGTGTGCTGGTCAGCGTTCAGCAGCTGGCTCTCCAAGGGGAAAACAAAGCCATGGCTTGTAGCTTCTGCCAATTTCTGTGATGTAAATACCCCCACCGTGGCTGGTCTCAAGCTCCCCACATGTTATCACTGAGAGCGGAGCTGGAGAGAGGTGCAGACGCACACCTCCAGACAGTATCTCCACCCTGTGGGTGCAGCAGACACAAGCTCGAGAGTGCAGATGGAAGACAGCTAGGAAGTGATGAGTTCGAGTATTACCTTTGTTTTAATGTAATTTAAATTTCTGTAATGTAATTTTTAATATTGGCTGCGCTTTACATACCAGCTGTCAAAATGAAAATTTAAGTCAGTTTTTATAAGCTGGTATAAGCTAGCCCAGCATACCACTGAAAGGTCTCAAGGTATCTCAAAGATAGCAAAATTCAACTTTTCCGTTCTGTTTTTTTTAAGGTATGCTTTTTTTTTTGGCTGAGGAAGATCAGCCCTGAGCTAACATCTGTTGCCAATCTTCCTCTTTTTTTGTTTTTTTCTCCGCAAAGCCCCAGTACGTAGTTGTATATCCTAGTTGTAAGTCATTCTAGTTCTTCTGTGTGGGATGTCACCACAGCATGGCGTGATAAGTGGTGCGTAGGGCCCGTGCCCGGGATCCGAACTGGCAAACCCCAGGCCACTGAAACCGAGCGCAAGAACTTAACCACTCGGCCACGGGGCCGGCCCCTCAATTTCTCCTTTTGATGTTTTAGATTCCAGATGAACTACTGGAATCAGCAGCAGGAATCTGAGGGACTTTGGACTATTAATAAGTAGAAAGCACACAAATCCTTTGAGCATGCCAGGGAATAACTGGGGGTTTGATTCATTTAAAATATATCTACATACAGCAAGGATCATCAGGCTTTACAATTTCAACCTATTTTTTCAAATTTCAACTAAGAGTGATCTTCAAACTCAGGATGTGGTCCATGCAGGAGGCGGCCAATGAGCGAAGCATATGGCTGTCTTCTTCCTTCCCATCTGGGCATCCTGGACGGCTCTTACCAAAAGTCTGAACCAGGGAAGAAGAAGTTCACTTGAGTAGCCAGGTAAACCACTAATGATTTGCCCAGGGAGGACCCACATACCAGAATTCAATTTAATTTCTTCTACCCAACCAAGTGTTAGTGGAGAAGATGTGAACCAGGTGTTGAGAGATTGCCTCCACTGCCACCTCCAGCTTCCTTAAACACTGTGTGCTGGTGCTCAGGAGGCTGGAAGTCCTTGCCTGCCTCCTTCGCCCAGTTTTACCTCTGGTAGCACTCCAAGTTTTCCATTCCAAGTGATTTGTCCCGGGTAGAAACTACAAAAGAAAAAAACAGGCCGCAGGCTTCAGCAGCTCCGATTAGTGGCAGCCAGCACCCGTTCTGAGAGCTCACCAGGCTCTCCGTTTCTCTGCCACCTCTGCTCATCAGGGAGCCAAGTGCAGAGCCAGACCTGCTAGTTCCGGCACCCTGTTGGTGAAGGCGGCTCGTCGAGCCTAGCCTCTAGGGCTTGGGAAATATGTACTTCTTTTTGTGCCCCATGAACAAGGAACTCATTAAGGGTTGCTCATTTGATATGCAGAAAATATTTCTTGAACTTGTGGCCTAAACGAAGGCTCTGTGCTGAGCGCCGCGCTGGACGACTGGTTCCGGCCGTCTCAGAAGTGAGGCTGCAGTCAGGGCTGACCCGGGGCCCCTGCTGCTCTTCCGGACCCTTAAACTGAGCATTTAAAGGGGACCTATGTCCACCTGTGAGAGACAGGACGGTGGAGCCCGTCTCTTCAGGCTTCCTGTGATTCTTTCGCTTTCTATGGAGAGGATGAGGGCCCTGCCTGGCACCTCCTCTCAAGGACTGGCTCTCTGCACAGCTGATGCACTTGCCGGGGCTGTGAGCGCTCTGGGCGGAAGGGCAGGGGAGGGCTCAGGGTTATGAAAACAGCTTTGGGACTCCCCCTGCCTGGGGTCTCTAGGAGGGAGACTATTCTTAGGAAGCGTCTCTACCCTGAAGGAGCTTTTCTTCACCACTCGGCCTGAAGGACTTCTTTTTGAAAAAGACCTGGACTAGAGTCGAATCCCGAACTGCAAAGAGATGGCCAATTAGGCTGCTTGGCCGCGTTCTAGCCAAGGAGGCAGCCCCTGCCTTTCAGGGCCCGGCACAGGCTGGAAAGAGATTCTTGGCCCGCGGTCCCGTGGCGCGCTGGGATGCAGGAAGCCCAGTTCGCAGTCCCTGCCCCTCTGCTCATGGAGAAACCATGAGTCAGCCTATCCCATTCCCTCCTGTGCTGAGAGCCCAACGCAGACAATTGCCTGGCAAAGCAGGAAGAGGGGAAAGGGAAGCTGCAGGAAAATAAACATTTCCTTGCATTTTACTTGGAACTGAACGGCATTTGTGGCGTGCTAAGATCCATAGCATCGCCCAACTCCCCCCGCCTGTTTTCCTCCTCTTGTGTAGAAACAGATTCTTTCCTTACCTGATGAGAGTCCAGGGTGCATCCTGTGGAAAAACAGGAGCAAGATATAGAAGGTAAAAGCCAAGCAACCAAAGATCACGCCGCAGACCAGGAAACTATAGCTGCCCCGAGCCTGGAAGACCTGCCAAAGGGAAAACACGGAGACAGGCCATCGAACCGCACACGGAGGAGGAGTGGAGGAAGCAGCCTGCTGGGCTCGGCAGGTCTGCCAGTCAAGTTCAGGCCCGTCACACCAATAGATAGAAACATGCGGAGGAGGCACGTCCTGCCCTCCTTTCAAGGCTATGTTTCTGGAGGAGGCAGAAATCCTGCTCTAAGGCAGGGGCTGAACCTGGTGACCCCTGGAGTCCCTTTCAGCTCTGTGTCTGGGACCTTCTGAAAATCTCTAAATCTTCATTAAAACTCCAGTCATGCTAGGTGTTTCTATGCCCACAAGGCCTGACCAGAGCTTTGCAGAGGATATCTTTATATATTTTCAGCCTTTTACTATGGAAAATTTAAACATATGCCAGAGTAGCCTATGGAACGCCCACAGACCCATCACCCCACTTTAACCATCAGCGCCGCTCTCCCCTGTGCCCGCGCCCCCTGAACGAGATGACCCTGAAGCACACCCTGGCCATGATGTCGCCTCCACGCAGAGGCTACTGTGAGATGCGGGGGAGCAGGGCCAGAGGGCAGGGCAAGAAGAGGAAAGCAGAGTAGTGATTAGGGGCATTCTGGGGACTGAGAGACTCAGGTTGGAACGGCATCTCTGTCAGTTACTAGAAGGGTGATGGACCGAGGGCAGGTTGCTTAATTTATCTGAGCTTCAGTATCCTCCTTTGTAAAAAGGGGAATAACAATATGTATATTGTAGTTTTCAGTAAAAAACGGATATGGTTTTTTTCCTGGTAAACAAATAAAACGTGGCTATGTTTGAAGAGGACTGGGAGAGTTGGCCCTTGATCAGGGGAGGAGTTGGGCAGGCAAGCTGGCCCCTTGCAGGGTGGCCTAAGGCTGGGAGAGGTGGAGTAGAGAGTGGGAGGTGAGAAAGGATGGAAAGAGAGCTGTGACTGCAGCTCCAGCCCACCCCAGGCTCTGAGAGCTGAAGAGCTGTCCCACGGGGCCCTCTGGCCCTGCTCCCAGACATGGCTGCTGTTTGCTTTGGACTGTACCCTGCAGCCTTTCCCATCTCCAGGTCCCAAATTCAGAGGCTCAGCTTTCAAGGCTGGCGCAGAACCAGAAACAGGTAACACCGACGGAGGGGGCCCTTGCTGTGTGGATGCTCGGGGAAGGGCCAGCTGGGTTCAGCACCTTCTCACCTGCCTGGAGGAGTGGTCCCCAACTGCTCCCCCGCCCAGAGTTTCCCACGTACCGAGCCAACAAGCATCTGGAGGGCCATCTCACCAATTCCTGCCCCGATCACCAGCACCGTGGTCGCACAGCCTAACCGAAAGAGAGGATTTGGATTAGTAAAAGCAAGTTAAAAGACAGAAGTCAGCTAGCGTAATCCAGGTTGTTTCTGGAAAATGGCAAGGCTGCCTAAGGGGACTACTTTGGATTCCTAAGATTTCTCAGACTTTAGCCCTTATCTTTGCTTCAGGAATGCTTGGGTCCTGTGTCATTATGGTCCTTCCTTGTTCTGAAACCTTCAGTTGCTCACGATTGTCTTCAGGGTAAATTCCAAGTTGCTCAGACTGGTATTCAGGGCTCTTCGCAATCTGACCACCACCTTCCTTTCCAGAAAGATTTCCTGGTCTCCTCAGGCCAGCGCTCTGCCCTAGGCATACCAGTGTCTTCACTGCCCTGGTGTTGCCTGACCAGCCACACCGCTGATGAATCTGGCGACATGGCACACACCTTCAGAGCCCAAGCTTCAGAGTCAGACTTGGGTCCCAAGCCCAGCTGTGCAGGTAGCCTACTAGCCATGTGACATTAGGCAGGTTCTTCCCTTCTCTTGGTCTCCTGCTGTCAAATGGGCATGATGACACCACCTTCACAGGGTGGCTGTGTGGTAACTCCGAAGCAACCCGTGCAAGTGCACAGTGCTGGCAGAGTCCACCTCGAGCCCGGGCCAGCGCTCCACTTCGACCCTTCGCTGCTGCCTTCAGGATAAAGTCCAAACTCCCTGATGTGGTTCGCAGGCCTTCATCCCCATCCCTGCTGAGAGCTCTCACGCTCCCTGCTGACCTGCCCTCGGCCAGCAGGACTACCTTCAGTGTCACCGGCGTCCTCACGCTCACCGCTGGGTCTGCCATATGTGCTCACTCCCTCCAGAACATTCCTGCTCCTACTCCTTGTCTGGCAAGCTCCCGTTCATCTTTGAAGTCCTGGCTTAGTTTCCCTTCAGTCATCTTCTCCCCGGCCCTAACCCTGCATTCCTTGCTCTGCCTCTGTGCCCCCTCAGCGCCCCGCCGTCACATACCCCACTGTCTGTGTACCAGGCGGCCTCCCCACCAAGAGAGGACTGCGCCAGGAATGTCAGTTCCAGCGGCATCTACCGCTGCTGATTATGAGCGCAGTGGCCAACGTGCGGTAGACAGTGTTTTCGAATGAGACAGATCATCATCATCCGCCTGCGGCTTTCGGTGCTTCTTTTAATCTCGCTCACATTTAGACCCATCCTGGGCCTTGGCTCTGCCCTCCCACACCCCTCCCCGGAATGCCTTTCCTCTTTCCTTCTGCTTTTCCAAATCCTGGGCCAGCTCCCACCCCATCTCCTCCAGGAAGCCATCTCTAGATTCAACACTGGCCACTCCCTTCTCTGAGTTCCAGCAGCACCCATTGTCAATTCTGCTCGTTCATTCAAAACCCTTTCAGGACCTCTGTGCGTCAGGCACTGTGCCAGACACTGCAGGGAGTCCGATGGATGATCAAAGTCGACACAGATGCTGGGCACCTGTGAGCCAGTTAAGCTGCTAAATCAATTACATTTTCTCTGATGCACAAACAATCCTAAAAGGTAGGTATTTGCAAGCCTATTTTACAGGCGAGAAAAGAGGCTCGAAGAGTTGAATTGCACAAGGTGACAAAGCCAGAAATGGTGAGGCAGGACTGACATTCAGGTCTGCTGATGACCTCAAAGCCAATGCTCCTGCCCTTGTCCCCTGCTGATGCCCATGGGAGCATGGTGTCGAGGAGAGGATGTGGATGATGTAGGGACGAAAGCCTTGAGGTGGGTCAGACACGAGAGGCAGGTACAAAGGAGGAGGCACACCCTTCCAGCAGAGATCAGGGAGGCTTCCCAGAGGGGGAGGGGGGAGGGCAGGAGATAAAGGGGTGGGACAGAGTAGAAGGGGCATTTCAAACAGAGGGTTCACCATGTGCCACAGTGTGGAGGTGCGAGACGGTGTCTGTGCCATCAGGGAAGAGAAAATAACTCCACGTGGCTAGAAGGCAGGCTCTGAGGGGCAGTGGTGGGGAGAAGCCCGGAGGAAGGAGGAGCTCCGCAGGAAGATAGGAAGACTGTGATCCCCTCCGGGTTTGAAAGGACCCTCTGCATCAGGCGGAGGACGAATCAGTCAGTGGTCCCCTGGCTACACGCTAGGATCACCCAGCTGCTCTGGACCCACACCATCAGACTGTGTGCAGAGGAAGCCCAGGCTTGGGTGCTGCTACAAGTGCTCCAGGGGATATTAACGTGGACCCAGGGTGGAGGACCACTGATGGAGGCAAATCTGAAGGCAAGGACACCAGCCCAGACCTGCCAAGGCCGGACGGAAGTGATTAGAAATTGGGAAAAGCTGGGCGCCGTTAAATATTACAAGTGGGTAAGTGACGATAAACCCTTGAACTAAGTCAGGGACAGTGAGAAATGAGATGAAGAGGGCGGATTTGAGTCACTATTTGCAAGCGGAAAGAACCGATATAACGTGATTATTATTATTAAACCCTAACATTTGTTGATCACTTAACCTCCGTGGGATACACTGTGTGACGGGTGATACCAACATTGTTTCATCACTTCATTTACCGGCTTGAGGCATGGGGACATCCTTGGCTTTCCAGGCTCGGGGTCTCCGTCTCCGTTCCTGTGGATAACTGAGTGCGGGCTGCTCCCCTCGGCCCCAAGTTCCCCCACTTCTCCTCCAAAGAAATCTCTCAACTTTAATGCTGGTTTTCCAACACTCGAGGGCTTCTCTAGTTACTTCTAAGGATAATGTTAAATGTTCAAAACATAATTATTTTTAACTGGTTAAAAAACGCATCTTTGCTATATGTCCTTGGCAGGCTACAGAAAGGGGAGGAGATTGGTCAAGAGAATTAGAGGTTTTTGACATCAAAGAGGCTGTGTCACTCCCCAAATCAGGCGTAGAGTCACTGTCCCTGTCCTCCACACCCCAAACAACATCCACAAGAGCAACAAAGCGCGGAGGCACCCTTACTAAGGTCTCACACCCCTGCCTCTGCCGGGACTTCTCCCGGGACAGTGTTCTCCTTGGAACCCAGAATCCCAGCACACCCGTGGTACAGCATGCCAGCTGTGGGTGAGCAGACACTACCACGGGAAACAAACAACGGCACGCAGCTTACTGCATCCCCGTGGCCTGAAATCACATGATGCAGGTGTCATGTTGAGTGGGGAGCTTCGTGGTCAGAACGACCCCCGTTGTGAACCTGCTCCCACCAGAGTGGGAGGGGAGCATCATTTCTGCAAGGAGGCAGGCTGATCTGGCTGGAAGACCAGAGACGACGGGGGGTGGGGGAAGGGGCGCCCAGCCCGAGGAAAGGCCTCTGCGCTCTTACCCTGCCCGCTCACCTCTGTACTGCAGGATGTCCTCAGTGTAGGCCAGCATGCTGGGGAAGGAGCTGCTGAGAAACAGGCCCAGGCTGGCCGTGCCCAGGAACAGGAACACGACGTTGTAGGAGAGCACAAGCAGCACCAGGAACGTCACCATCACACCGACCTGTCACAGCAGAGATGGAGGCCACTAGAAACTGGGAAAAGCTGGACACCCACTGAGAAAAGGAAAAACCGGGAGCCACTGTCCGACTTGGAGAGCGCCTCCTCCGGCCCCGGGCGCAGCGCCACGTAACCAGGGCACCGCCCTGTGGGAAACGGGGGAATTGCACCTTCCCTGGTCCGGCGCCCACCGAGGAAGCCCCGAGGATCCGGGAAGGCGCCGGGAGGCCAGCCCACCCAGACCTCTCCGCAAACGGCCCCACACGCTTAAGGAGCGTTTGATGAGGGACGCCCGCCTGGCCCCGGGGTCTCATCTGTCAGCGGGGGGCTCCGTCCGAGGCATCGGCTCTCTCTGCCCCGCGGGCCGGCGCCGTATGAGTCGTCCACTCCTCGTGAAGAGGAGCTGCCTCTCTTTCCCCAAAAGGCCTGTGTTCACAGAGGGAGCGTAGGGTAGCCGGAGAGGGGCGGGGATGGCTGCAGGGTCCCCACCGTCTGGGAATCCTTGCAGACCTCCCAGGGAGCGGGTCGGCGGCTCGGCAACCAGCCTCCCAGGTTCGGCTCAGATGCCCTCGGGCAGATGCTAACCTGTACGGTCCGAAACCCCTGTGACTGGCTGTGAGGGCAGAAATCTTTCCAGTTCAGTAAGGGTCTCCGTCACCTGGGCTATCTTTGTTAAAGTAACCCTTTTTCTAAATTCTTTAAAAATGTCAGTATTGAATAATCTCCGCGCAAAACACATCTAGGAAGAAACCCAGGCAGCACAGATTGGGAGGCAGAAAATCCAGGTGTAGGTATAAGGCCGTTGTTTCTCGTGGGCTCTGGGGCTTTGAAGCAGGGATCTCTCCGATTCCCAGCTTCCTACTCTTCCTAGCTGCTTGAAGGCTGGGTGAGCTGACAGCAGGGAAGGGCTTAGAGTGTGAAGCTGCAAATACCGTCCTGGAATTTGTGTGTCAGCTTGTCTTAACGTCTCAGGAGATAAGGGTCTTCTATAGAAACCCCCCACTTTGAGGTAAAAATCTCCTGGGTGAGTACATCTGCTTCTAGAGAAAACGAGATAAAATTATAGAGTAGAGAGTTGGGAGGTGAGTAAGGACCACATCTAACCCCCACTCCACCAGGCGCTGTTTGACAGACAAGGAGCTGAGCGTGAGGCGGGAAGGGACTCTCACCCTCACAGGCGGATCCTGGGGAATTTGCTGACGGCATCCGTGAGCCTGGCCCTCACTCACCTCTGCTGTAGGGGCTCTTAGGCGCGAGACTCACTCATCAAGGGGCAGAGGCCTTACGGGGAAAGACCTGCTGCCTGGAGAGGGATTGGCCATAAACAGGGGCTCAAGGAAACACATTCTCTTCACGATGAGGGGACAACATGAAAGAATCTTTCATGCAGTAAAAATACGAAAGCAATGGACACGTCTATGGTTCCTAATATAACGTATTTCTTTGGCGCAGAAAATGGTCCCACAGCTCCCTCTGCTCTTTCTCCCACCTCTGCCCAATTTCTAAATGTTGGCCCAGGACTCTGTTCTGGCTCTTCTTTGTCTGCATTCTCTGTTCATCCAGCTCCACAATTTCAAATATCTCTATGCTGGGACTCTTAAATCCACGCCCGCAACCATGACCCGAGTCCAGAGCTCCGGACTTGCATATGAAACTGCCCCTTTGATCCGTCACTGGGATGACTTACGCAGGGGATCAGAACTGGTGACCCCAAAATGTGTCTTTTTGGATTGATTATTTTTAAGGACAAAAGACTCTGAAAGAAGCTTTGACCTCCCCCACTAACTGCCTGAAAGAATTCAGGGTAGAAGCCCTGATCCAGCACAGGCCGTCACCATGGATAACTCTGGATGTGGTAGTCTGGGAGGACCCTTGAGAAGCCCACTCTCGTCAAAGTTCTCTCTCAGGTCACACTGTCTATAGGTGGCCCAGCAAACACTTGTTTACCAAACATTTGCATTTTCATCTCCATGTGAACTGCCTTCCTCCCCTTTGAAGTCCCAAACCACTACCCCCAACACCCTTCTCTGTCCTTAGCTGAAAATGATATTTAAGGTGGCGGCTTCTGCCATTTTGGCGAGTTACTCAGTTTTCCTGGGTTTCTCCTATGTATACATGTTATTAAACTTTGTTTGATTTTCTCCTGTTATTCTGTCTCCTGTGAATTTAATTCCTAGACCAGCCAGAAGGACCCAGAGGGGAGAGGAATAATTCTGCCTCCCCTATAGTTTGGTGTCCAGGATGGGACAAAACTTCACTGGCTGGACGCTCACATCTGGGCTGCTACAGCTGAGAGATCCTGGACGCCTGACGAGAGCCAGCAGAGGTGCGAGTTCTTACACAGGTCTCCGGGATCTCTGCCTGCAGGGTCCAGTGGAAGCGAGAGTGGTGGGTTTTGTTCCTGTGTCTAAATTTAGACTAGCAGGAGAAAATAACAGTGAAGCTGGCTTCTTGGACTCCGTGAGTCTGGGAAATTTGGTTTGAGTTCTCTTGGTTTATTGAGTCTTCTCCTCTCAGAGACGGTCGCTATTTTTCCTTGTCTCTGTCTTTTGTGTCATTTTTAATAAAAAGAAGAAAACATAGGGCAAGACACAGGCATCTATAAGCCCATCGTCTGGGCCGGCCTGCGGTGAACTTTGCTGTGGTTTAACATGTGCGTGAGGTGACAGCTGTTGCTAAGGGGCATCTTGAAAGCCAGAAAGGCTGCAAATTTGGTGGGCATGGGGGGAGCAGTTAAGAGCCGTTCGGGCGTCCCACCTCAAGAAGCCTCCTGTGATAGGATAAGTTGGTCACAGAAAGGGGTAAAATGACACAGGTCCCCTGCCTACCTCAAGCAAGTGTCCGTGCAACAAGGTACTCTGTAAAGTGCACATGATCCCCAACCCCACGGCACCCGCCTCCGACGCATTAGTTTGGCTCCAAGAGACCCAAAGCGTAGCTACAGCTGTTAACGTACATGCAAGATGAGGCTTTTCCTTTCATCTTGTTCTACGTCTTGAGAGCTTGGCTTTGTGACCTCTTTGGTCTCTGCCATCTGGAGGATGCACACACAGGCATGCATCTTGGCAGCTAGTTGAACAGACTGGGGTTCCAAGATGCACTCTCTTTGTCGGGCTGAGTCAGCTTTCAGGGGAGTTTGTCATCAGGGGTGCCCAGTTGCTTTCATAATGGGCCTTTGTTGTCTCAACCTTCATTGCTTGTCAATGCTGGTACTATACCATCCTTACTGCCTCTGAAATGAAGGCCTTTGCTATCTTGGACTATTTGGGGAGTGAACTTTCTGGATCTTGTGAGGGCGGCTTCTTTTGCACTCTCTCTTTTGGGGTCACCTCTTGTGTCCATGATTAACACATAAAAGGATTATTGGTTTGAGTCACTATTAAGATCCTACTGGTCAACGAGCAGACGATGGGTCATTTAAATTGGAAAAACTTCTAAATTGGAAAAATTTTCAGAGAGGTCACATCATGATTGTTTTATTGGTACCTACGAAAAGACCAAATTAAAAAGGAAATACAAAGAAATAATGACTAATTTTAAGAATTTAATCAAATTTGGAGTCTCAGCTTCCTCTTATGGTCTTACAGATGCTAATGAAAGCATTAATTGACAAAAAAATAAATAAAAAGCCCAAGGGAAAGTCAAGGAACTCTTCTGCATGAGGTGAAAATTTTTAAAAGAGTTTTAAAAAAATACATAAGGTAAATAAGACAAATATTAAAAGAGGGAAAAACAAAAAGTAATCAAAAAGGGAAGAGTCATGAGACCCATCTCAGCAGGATGGAAATCTTAAGATGGTTATTAAACAAAATGCGATAAATAAAGCAGACATTAATGGGCTTAAAACAAAGGTTTGAATCTAGCACTGCCTGAGGTTGGGTGGGCCAAAGGGACCTGCTACCAGGTCCCCCGAGATTAAAGGGCCCCCAACAACTCTGCTCTATTTACTCTAGTTCGGAAAAATTTGAAAAGCCAGAAGGCAGAGATCACAAAAAAACACTGTGCTTGGAGCAACAATTAGGCCACTTAATCAAGTTAAAGATTGACAAAAGGACATGGTCCCTTGGGTGAACCATGGGGACTCAAGCCTTTTAAACAAAAATGGGTAAAATAACGAGGAGGTGGAGAAGAGAATTCGCCAGGACTCCCTGATACAGGAACCCCACAGCTGTTGTACCAAAAGCTATCGGTGGGACCCTGAGTCAGGCTGCAATTAGACTGAAAAAAACAACAGAAGACGTAAAGGTATAAAGGTTGATAGGACTATAAAGCTTGGAATGTTTGAACTAATATCATGCAAAGAGGTTTTATCAACTTTCCCTGAGCGGCTTTCCTTTGAAAGTGGATGCTGTGTCTGGCTGGGAACATGTCCCCTAGCCAGCACTAGAAGCCCGAGACTTGTGGATGAAGTCCTAATAGGAGCTAAGATCAGAGTATAAGACTTGATGGAGTTCAGATGAAGTTTTGTAGGAAAACTGAGACATTTGCGGGCTTTATGTGAAGTGACTGTACTCTTTTTCTCCTGATTGTATTACAGATTGCATTGTGGGCACAGACCCTGTGTCTCACTGGGGGACGTTTCCCCTGCCTGCTCCTAAGGCAGCGTACAAACCTGCCCTTCAGACGGTGTTAATTAAACACACAAGGGGAAGTCACTAGGGCTGCCTGAGCTCACACAGTGTGAGATAAAAATTAGAGGCTAATATCAGGTGCTAATAAAAAAGATAATAAAAGCTCCTCCCGCCAAGGTAAACTGGTCTAAGGTTAAACTGTACACTTAGAAAGACGGCCTTTGTTAAATGCTTTGTGCAGATTTTTAAAGGTGTAGTACATTGTCCTAAAGTTTTGAAACAATAGCTGTGGAGTCTGTGTGTGTGTGTCTATATGCATGTTATATATGTGTGACATTTTACCTCTGGATGGTATAATTTCTAAAAGAACTCTGTTTAATTGTCTTAAAGTGTGTGTGTCTATATGTATGTTATATGTGTGTGACATTTTACC